ACTCATGGCCACCACAGCCTCAACCTGCTGGACTCAGGCGATCCTTCCACCTCAGCCTTCTAAGTAGCTGGAATTACAGGCATGTGCCACCATGCCCGGCTAAGCTAAACCCTTTCTTAAAGTATTATGGTGGCCAAGTGTGGTGGCTCATGCCTATCATTCCAGCACTTTCAGAGGCCGACGTGAGTGGAATGTCTGAGACCACGGGTTCGAGACCAGCCTGGGCAACTTGGCGAGACCTCATCTCTACAATAAATAAAAAATTAGCTGGGTGTGGTGGTGCATGCCTGTATTTTCAGCAACTTGGAAGGCTGAGGCAGAAGGATCACCTGAGCCCAGCAGGACAAGACTGAGGTGGCTGTGAGTGTGCCACTGCACTCCAGCCTGGGAGACAGAGTGAGAGTCCAATTCAAAAACAAAACAAAACAAAAAAGTATTACGGCAATTGTTTAGGGTTTTTAACATCTTGTGAAACTAGGGAGCAGAGGCAGGGGGAGAGACAGAGGAAGGTGCATAGGGAATGGTCTTGGTTATGATACCGTGACCCAGAAGAATTCAGAAGTGGGCGACTCACGGTAAAAATGAGTCTGTCCTGCTCTATGTCTTGTGTGGATTTATGGGGGGCTTTGATCTCCCACGGACCTGCTGGGCTGCTGGCTTGGGGTTCCACCTCATGGCACATGGCCTTGAGCACATGGTCCACTCCACTCCCAGGGCGAGACAGGGACAGAGTTGAGTCACAGGTGGGCTCTGCACTGCCCGGTCTGAGAGGTGACCCTCATCACGTCTGTCACACTTACTTGGTCAATGGCAAATGGACCAAGAAGCATAGTCACGCACGTGCTCTGGGGGAGAGGATGACATCTTGGCGAACAGGCTGTGCATCCTCAGAGGGACCGTGTGAATTCTGCACAGGGCCCTTTTCTGGAGGAATGACGGGAAGGGTGTGCGTGTGCCTGAGTTCCCAACAGTTACAATGTGCTCTGCGTCAGAGTGCTCTGTGTCAGAGTGCTCCACGTCAGAGTCCTCCATGTCCGAGAAATGCTCCACATCAGAGGAGTGCTCCACGTCAGAGGTGTGCTCCACATCAGAGGAGTGCTCCGTGTCAGGATGCTCCATATCAGAGTGCTCCACAGCAGAGGAATACTCCACGTTGGAGTGCTCCATGTCAGAACGCTCCACATCAGAGGAGTGCTCCATGTCAGAGTGCTCCATATCAGAGTGCTCCCCATCAGAGGAATGCTCCATGGCGGACTGCTCCATGTCAGAGTGCTCCACATTAGAGGAGTGCTCCGTGTCAGAATGCTCCATATCAGGGTGCGCCATATCAGTGTTCCACATCAGAGGAATCCTCCATGTTGGAGTGCTCCATGTCAGAGTGCTCCACATCAGAGGAGTGCTCCGTGTCAGAGTGCTCCACATCAGAGGAGTGCTTCGTGTCAGAGTGTTCCACATCAGAGGGCTCCTCATCAGAGGCATGCTCCATGTCAGAGCGCCGCCTGCCCTTGAAAGAGACACGCAGGGAAACCGGTCTTTCCAGTGCTCTGCCATTTCACAGATTCAGGGAAATTGGGAAGAAAGGGTGTTCCAGACAGGCCCTCCCCCTCTTCAGGAGGGCCCGACCTGGAGGTCCCACCTCACTCCAGCATCCTCCCACTTCCTTCCTCGCCGTCTTCACGATACTGTCGTGGAGAGGAGACGGTGGGTACACCTGCGTCCTTGGTGATTGCTGAGTCTGTGACTGGTCCTCTGTCCTTCACAAGCAAGCATACCTTGATTCTACTCTTACAATTAATTTATTCTTGTCTTTTTTAAGTCCAGCGGGGGCACGTGTGGGTTTGTTCGTGGGTTTTTTGCCCAAATAGGGACCGTGGCACCTGACAGATTTTCAACCGCTGCCCCTCACCCCTGGGGAGCCCCTGGTGTCTGCTGCTTTTATCTCTATGTCCCTGTGTGCCCAGTGTTTAGCTCTCACAGGCCTTGATTTTAAAATCCACTTATATCATCAAAGAAAAGGGAGAAGATATAAAAGCAAACATTTTAATTACAGTAAAAACAAACCAGTGTTCACGAATTCTAGTTACACATTGCCACTTTATACAGAAAGGACTTCCCTCTTTATTCTAAAAACAAGGGCATTTACAATTGTTGAAAGATTGTTCCAGAACAGCTCAGGCCTGATCCCTTCACCTCCAAGAAGCCAGGAAGATTGGGCTTCAGCTTGAGGAAGGGCCCCACCTTTGCAGAACCTGAAGGCAGCCTCCAATCTACCCCCGTGGGAGAAGCTCCTTCAGCACTTGGATTCCAGCAGGAACAGCAGGGAAACCGGGTTCTTTCCACTTGCATCAGTTGCTGAACAAAGTTGGTTTCTCTTGAAACTGCTGCAGGGGACGTTTATGTTTTATTGAAAAACAACAACAAAAACTGCTTCGTGTAAAAGCCTCATCCACACAGCATGAACAATTAGTGCTATTTAATTACTGACAAAATTAGGCTTACAAATTGATTTATGGCCCTGCCGATGAAACCAGGTTCTTGGAGGAAGGCAGATTTCTTGCAGTGAATTTGGGGGCCAGGAGGCAGGCATTCTGATGAGGCACAGGCTGGAACTTGGGACCTCGGCATCCATCTCCAAGTCCCTCTAAGGTGGCCCTTCCTCACAATTAGCTGTGCTCATTACCCAGAGAAGATTAGATGCCATAGTGAGGATGGCTTGCTGGAAAGAGAAGTGAGAAGCCATTCTTACATCTCATTTTAGCCGCTGCTTAGCTATCTGGAGTTGCAGCTTCCTAAAAAGGCTTCCACACCAAAGAGGAGAAGAAACTTGAGTCTCTCCAACTGGGCATAATGAAGAGATCATTGAGCGTTTTAGACAGCAGCTGGAGCTTGTCAGTTACTTTTTATCTTAAGGCTACAGATAGAGAAATATTGCACAAGGACAAAAGAAAAGGTATCTGATGTTGGCAGTTCAGGACAGAAACCTCAGGTTGGCATAGAAAAACAGGAAATGATTGTTTTTAATCAAGGAGCCATATATTTCTGGTCAATATAGTTGAGAGTGTTTTTTAAAATAAACTCGGTTTGACATTAGAACTGACTGGCAGGGTACGGTGCAGGCATGGGCTCTGACCCCCAGGGGCCAGGGGAAGGCTTTGGAGAGACAAAACCTCCATGTTCCTATCACTCAGGTGAGGGAAGCGGTGGACCCGAGGACCTGGGGTGTGTGTTCCTCGGCCTGGCATCAGAATCACCTGGAAGCCCCCTCCCCCCCCCACTGACTGAATCAGCTCTGGGGTGGGCCGCGCAAACCAGGCTGAACAAACTTTCCAGGTGATGCTGGTGCCTGCTCAAAGGTTAGCATCAAACAGACCATCTCAGGCTCCTTGCAGTATTAACTCTCTGGAGTTTTATGGGAGAACAATAGAAAGAGACAAGGCCGAAAGTTTAAGAAATAGAAGAAAAACAGAAAGACAGACAGACACTCCAAAAAGCCCACACAGAACAGAGAAGAGCGTGGACCCGGAAAGATAATCTTCCGTGGAGCAGCAGGTGCGGTCTTTCTGATCCTCCTTGAAAGCTAGAAACTCTGAAGGCTCTAGTATATTTTTGCAACCACAGGCATATAGGATAAAACATCTATGGCTCCCTTAGCCAGATGGTAACGACCCGTTTTTACCTACTGAGGTAAATTCACCTCCTCTGATTTGGCGGTTGTTGGTTTTCAACGTTCCTTGGAAATTCAGAATGCTTTCCGGCTCTCTGAGTTTTGATCTGGTTAATTCAAAGGCTCTCGGGGAGCAGAGCCGTCCTTGGGCTAAAAATCACAGGCTGATGCTTAGTGATCTTGTTTAGGGATGTCTTAATTAGAGATTCAGGAAGGTGTGGAAGAGAAGAACCATTTCCCCCCCATCTTCTTCGGGCAACGCTGTTTCTTAACAGATCCGTGCCATGTTCCCAAAGGCCGGTTGGGGAGTGGGGATAACATTTTTCTGGGACACTAACTTGGGGGGCATTCTAGGACGTGGTCTGGGGCCTGTAGGACCTCAGGGTGACAGGTCCGAGGCTTCCCCCTCCGACCCTGGCAAGTGCCCAGGGCGGGGCGGGACCCCCTTCCGCTCTGTGCGCTCTGAGCGCTCTGAGTGGCGTCAGATGTCCCCAGGCCTAAGGACCTCCCCTCGGCCTGAGGTTCTGGAGAGGAAGGAAGCCCATCGGCCTCGCCACACCTGTCGGGAGAGTGGGCGGCTCCCGCCCCCGCCCCCGTCCCCGGGAGCTGGCCCGGCAGGTCCCCGCCGCCCCCGCCC